GTGCGCCACAATGGTGGCGCACGACATTCCTGCTCCGTGTGGCCGCGTGCGCCACATGGTGGCGCACGATCTTTTCTTCACAACGGTTGACGTTTATTATTTCGTGTTTGTGCAGATATACGATTTATCACTAAGAGGACAACATATTCGAGTGGGACGTCTCTAGATAATTAATCAGTATTTGTACATGATATTCAAATTAATGCCTAATTTGGAAACGGATTTTGCTTGAATAAAAGGCATTCTTTCAAGCAATTTCACAATCTAGACGTAATGCAAATGAATTGGAATAATGTGTTGCATCCAAAATCACCAAAAGAAGGTGATGCGCAGCAGAATATCAGCGTTAAGGCGTCATGAGCGCTTTTTCCACCTCACATGTCTTTCGGCGGTATATTTTCGACGCCTCATACTACTAGGCACTCAGAAATACCTATACTCAGAATCATACTCACGATTGCCCTACCCTGGTATCAAATTAGGCGGTAAATGTACGGCAAACTATGGAGTTAACCTACCCACTTCCTGCGATGGTCCGGTGAAGGGTGAAATGCGTCTACAAATATTCTGCAAATCTTAAAGGCATGCCCCAGGATCGCACTGGTGTGGCTCTTGCACACGAATGTGAATGTATCGGTGCCAAGTGGGCCGGCAGTGAAGAAAAAAGGAAAAGAATCCGTCGAAAACGCTCAGGTTGAGGGCTCACTCACCTTCCTAATTGGCTGTGCTAAAGGAACGAGAGACTAAGCGCGAAGAGGAGAGTATGGGGCGAGAGAGCGCATCAGATGAGAGAGCACCAGACAACGGCCTGATAAGAGAGCTCGTTCGCTGCAGCTCGAGCAGCTTACTTTGCAAGCCCAAAGCGTTCTTGTCGGTCGAATTCCGTGCACGTGAACGCCACATTTGTGATTGTCCCCTAGGGTTCTATACTTCTGACCGAAGAGAAGAGTTCACACGACCTCTGCCTGGGTTGTGCCTTTAATGATCGTCGCTGCTGTTCAATAAAGATGCTTAAGCAGATTGTGGGGTAATGGAACAAACTTGTTTGCCGTCGCTAGTTTGCACCAGAAAATGGTCAAAGCAGATTTTTGGGTCCATCACTATTGCTGTGGTGTAACTATTCGTTAACTACTAGGAATGTTTATAACAAGCCGAATAGGCAAAAATATGATGCAGTATCATAAAATTGTAACCTAATCTGATTGTAAGAATACAAAAGTGAGAAAGTACCCCTACAAAAGGAATTTCGAAATATGTCTGCCCCGTATGGCCGCATGCGCCACCATGTGGCGCACGATGCGCAATGCACGAGCGGCCATGCGAGCTCGCCAGCGCAAAAACGGCTTGGTACGCAATGTGTTAAAATGAGTCGGATGATTCGCGTTTGCAGCGCAAAAGTATGCCCAGCGCTAGCGAACTGTACGCCTGCCGTCGCCGCGATTGCCGTCACCCCTCACCATCCTAACCGTTTAGCAAAGAGAACGCTATCGTTTAGAGTAGCATGAGTGCGACGATCAAAGGGCAGAGAAGGGCCCTACTTGTCGGGTTCCGAGCCGTTTTTCATGGGTTCTCTTCATTCCTTGCACTACTGATCTATTCCAACTCTCCTTCTAATGTGCCTTTTCATCGTGAACTCTGCCCTAAAATGTGTCTCTAGCAGAAGGTGACACTTGTAGCTACGAATGTGCATCAAGTACAATACAAATATACCTTTGAAGATTGACACAGAATGGATTGTCAGGCTGAGTTTCGAGTAGTACCTCTACATGAAAAAGGAGGCACTATGTTGACGTATGTTCTTGGAAGATTTTCCTTCAGGTATCGAATTGCCTTCTGAATATTCGTCGCGTATTGTTCTGCACCGTACAGCGTCTGAAAAATGTATTGAAAGACATAATCCACATCACACTAGTGGAATGACTCCTCATCTCTGGAAAACTTAAGTCATTGGAAATCGTTTTGCTACTTGTGCAGACAGGCTTTTACACAAGTCATTCAACGTATAAAAATATTTATCAGGCTCTCACTTCCTGTCAATTCTTGTCCCTGGATAAGCTTTGATCCTACTCACCAGTTCTTCTGCCTGAAAATCGGTCCAGATTATTTCAAACACCGATAGAGTTGAGGACTCACAATATAATTTTGCCAGCGAACAGAATGTGCAGCTCATGCGCAAGGCCCACAATTAGTGTAATCTATGTTCGCAGCTATACGGCTTATTGTGGGAGTAATTACAGGAATTCTCAATGGAGCTGTAGCTGGTAATGAAATGGTGCGGGCGAACGAAAACGACTCCGGAGAAGCACCTATCAATGCACAAACTGAGCGATCGACAGAGAATTGAAATCGTTTTTAGACAACAGCAAGAAATTAGTAAGAAGGAGAAAACAATATCATGAATGGTTTAGCTAACGCGCATGTGACATGATTATGACATCCTCCTTCTCTACATATTACCACGCCGTGTAGGAATCACCTGCTACTCAGTCCAGCTATGAGGATTAATACGCTGCAGAAGTAAAGCTGCTTAGCTTGCCGATAAAGATGGAGTAGTACTTTTAATAGGGAATTGGGTACGACTATGAATATATCAATGAACAGGACGTTTAACAAAAAGATAAAAGCCAACTATAAACTTTGTTGTTGAACGCACCTGCCTCGGTAAGTCAGTGGCGAAAGCTCCCGAATCGGCCAGATTGAAGCCGGCAACAAGGGCTTCGTCACTCTTTGCAGTCCCTATACTGGCTCCTTTGAGGCCAGGTGAGAAGTGTCCAAATATGTCTAAAAACGATACATACCTGCTCCGAGTCAAGAGATCGCAGTGTTTGACCCTCGTTTTTTTTGCAGCTATTGGGCTGATCATGCATTTAAGCCCTACTTTGCGACACACAAACCAGTCAGAAGTTGTGTGAATGATTCGATTTGGTTTGTAGGAAAGAGCCTCAGAGGAAACCCACAGTCGTGGCACTCCTGTGTATGGAAGTCAATTGACAAGGGCGGTAAGGCTTTGGAAAGTTAGCTGCTGCCTGCAATGTTCCCCTCACACTGCAAACTGTTGTCTGGCGCCCTCTTATCTCTCCGCTTTCTCACATTTATACTGTCCTGTCCGCACGGTCTTTCACTGTCTTGGCATATTTCACTACAGAAGTGAGCAAGCCCTTACCTTTAAGGCAGGGATCACGCTAGGCTCTATAGCGATTTATAGAGGACGTGGGGGTGCTCAATGGTAAGCCATTAGTGAGAAAAGAAATTCTTCAAGAAAATGCAAAACGAGACCTGCCTTGCCGTTGATTTTCGCTCATGGACGGGCAACGGCTCTGACAGCGGGCGTATGAACGAGTTTGCTGCAACGCATTAGGTAGCACCATGCCAATGAATGCTTCTGTAGTGTCGCTGCTGGTAGCAAAGCTCACCAAATCACCAACGAACTAGTGGTAGAGCGTTCTTGGGGCGGAGCGCTTTTCAAGTACTGCTCAGCAACCAGCGTACCTTTTTTTCATGGAAGCGCCACACCTCGCTTCCTTGGCAGCCAAGCTACTACTTCATGTGACCCATAAGTTTGCCAATGAGCTCCCTCTTCATCATAATCACTTCCATTGAGCGTTTCTATACTCGATATCCGAAAGTTGGGGTAGGTGTGGCACCGGAAGTGACGTGCACTTGATAGAAGTTGCGTGGATAAGCTGCTTCCAACATACATCGCTGGATATCAGCAAAGCATGCTGGCAACAGCTTATCCACGCAACTTCTATCAAGTGCACGTCACTTCCGGTGACACACCTACCCCAACTTTCGGATATCGACTGTAACAGATTTTCTCCTTTTTCTGCCTGCCCATTACGCACCTATCTTTTGTGAATAAAAACCCTAAAATGCGCTGGCCGTTCAATTAAGAAATGGCGGAGTTCCCTCACAAGCATGCAGAGGCATGTGTCAGACCTTGCCATTAATCGCTAGCGAATTTCCGTTCCAAAGCAAACCAACAGCAAACATACTTGATAATGTTGCTTGTGTGCTTAGGTTATGTTGTCCTCCTGTTGCGAACGACAGTCCGCGAAAATCTGACGCGATCTCACTGAGTATCTCAGCTCCAGCAGCTCGTCCAGCCTGAAATCAGATGGAACGTCATAGAGCACAGAAGCTTTGTACAACCTCATTTTTCCAAAATGTTGGCAAGTCTACGCCGTGCAGGGCAAATGCACGTGCGCTCACCACCTTTCATTGAAAGTTTCAGAGTATG